TGTGACAAAATGTTGGGCTTCCCTGGTGGTTGAGATGGTAAAGAATCTTGCCTGCAGTGGCAGGAGACCCAGGTTTGATCCCTGGGGAAGATCCTCTGGAGAAAGAAATTCCAATCCCCTTCCTATAATTGCCAGGCGAATCCCATTGACAGAGGCCTGGTGGGCTACAGTCCGTGGGTTGCAAACAGATACAACTGAGCTACTGACACGACAGAATTTTTTACCCACAACTCTCTGTAAAATGAACGCCCTACTTCTGTGTGTTTATTGGGAGAGGAGGAAACAGTGGTGAGGGGAGGATTTTTAAATTAAAACTATGTAAGGAAGACTGACCTACAAACTGTCCTCCTGGTTCAAAGACTACAACTAAAAACCACTGTAAAATGACAATTATACAGGAAAAAAATATTGCATTTTTAACAAAAAGAACAGATTCTTTATTTTATGCACTTCATGCAAACTATTACTGTTGTCTAAAAGGATTCCTCCCACACTGCACCCAGGCTCGACACATAACAGCAGCTGAAGAAAAGGGCTGTACAAGCAGAAGGTGAAAAGCGTTGGATACACAGAAGATAATGTTTCCCTTGGGTTGGTAACTGCCTGGACCTAACCCACAGGCAAGGACACCTTGACAAGAAAGCATGGTCTGAACCCCAGTGGGTTAAACCTTGACTGAAGACAAACCACGTGGGCTGTTACACAACATTTTAAAATTCACCTTGTTGACCTGGGCTAGTGGTTTTATCACAGCGGATTTAGAGGCCAAACAGCCTGTGTCAGTGGGAGGACCCAGCTGGTTAGATAAATGCAGGTGACGTCAGCCAGCTCACTTCGGATGTTCATGATAAATAACATCAGCCCATGGGAACTTGTCTCCACACATCACCAGGGTGGGTAACATCACTCATCACTCTAGTATTGAGGTTGTTAAAATAAGATCTACAGGAAAACTGGAAGTTGGTTTTAAGAAAAGAAGAGAGAAAAAAAAAAAAAACTACAATGATTTAGGTAGGAGACAGCTGCTTACCCCCAGCCCAATAATTTTCCTGATAGACCACAATGGCTCACCTCCCACCTCTAAAAACAGAAGAATTTTTAGTTCTCAAATTTTCCTGAGGCCTGTACATCAGGGTCATGAAATTGAATTCACATTGACTCCCTTTGGGTTTTCCTAGTAGCTCAGTTGGTAAAGAATCCGTCTTCAGTGCAGGAGACCCAGGTTTGATCCCTGGGTCAGGAAGATCCCCTGGAGAAGGAAATGGCAGCCCCCTCCAGTACTCTTGCCTGGAGAATTCCATGGATGGAGGAGCCTAGTAGGCTACAGCCCATGGGATCATAAACAGTCAGACATGACTGTGTGACTAAGTGTCACTTTTCACGTTGACTCCCTTTAGGGTGTAGGACAGGATGCTCTTGATTAACATTAGGTTAGTGTTAGTTGCTCAGTCGTGTCCTACTCTTTGCCACCCCTTTATGGCCCACCAGTCTCCTCCGTCCATGGTTCTCCAGGCAAGAATAGTGGAGTGGATTGCCATTCCCTCCTCCAGGGGGATCTTCCCAACACCCAGGGATCGAATCCAGGTCTCCTGCATTGCAGGCAAACTCTTTATCGTTTGAGCTACAGGGAAGACCTAAATATCAGGTTCGAAGACCCTAAAGAGAGAATCCAGGAGTACTCTCAGAGCAGACACAGGTTAGATGAGAGAAGACAGAGGTTTAGATGAAATGAATCACAGAGAAACAGTTACCCAAGAAACATGGATACCACAGTAGCAGTCAGCAAGCAGCAGTGTCATTATCTTAAAATTAGATCCCAGTCACTTGGTTGATACCAACAGAGCTGGAATGTGCACTTTAAGTCTTTCTGAACCAGCTGGTTGCAAACTCAGCCTAGCTGTGGTGACCATAACGTGGCTTATGGTGGTTCATGAAACATTTTGGTTGCACGGTTTCAAAGGGTGGTTTCAAGGATCCACTGACTTACCAAGAAAATAAGGAAAATGGCTTCCTAGAAATAATCCAGTACATCATGAGAAAGGCTGGGCTAGATGAAGCACAAGCTGGAATCAAGATTGCCATGAAGAACTGATACTTTTGAACTGTGGTGTTGGAGAAGATTCTTGAGAGTCCCTTGGACTGCAAGGAGATCCAACCAGTCCATCCTAAAGGAGATAAGTCCTGGGTGTTCATTGGAAGGACTGATGCTAAAGCTGAAACTCCAATCCCTTGGCCACCTGATGTGAAGAATTGACTCATTGGAAAAGACCCTGATGCTGGGAAAGATTGAAGGTGGGAGGAGAAGGGGATGACAGAGGATGAGATGGTTGACTGGCATCACTGACTCAATGGACATGAGTTTGAGTAAGCTCTGGGAGTTGGTGATGGACAGGGAGGCCTGGCGTGCTGCCGTCCATGAGGTCACAAAGAGTCAGACACGACTGAGCTACTGAACTGAACTGAACTGGATGAAGGATGAAACAATCTGAGGACTCTTGTCAAAGTGCTACCTGAGTTTCAATAACAGGGTAATTGATTAAACGTAGCTCATGGATATGAAAGAGTTGGAAATATAAAGAAGACCTAAAATTTAATCAGAAAGCTATGGCCACCGAGGGGCTACAGGATAGACAATCTATGTAAATTAGCAAAGCAACACTGCCTGCGAACATAAACTAACATGGGGAGATTTCAAATGAAGACCATCACCGAAGGAGCCGCCTAGAATTCACATGTAGAGAAATGACTGAATGAATGCCATGTGAGTGATTTTCCAAAGGTCTCTTCTTCCTTGTCAATAACAAGGACTGTGCACTGGCGAAAGAGCCCATTGAACGCAATGAATACAAGGAATTTCACTTATAACAATTTTGACTCCACACGTGTTAACTCACACAGGACAGAAGCGGCATACTTTCAGCTCTACTAGTAGAGACTGATAGAGAAGGCAATGGCACCCCACTCCAGGACTCTTGCCTGGAAAATCCCATGGACGGAGGAGCCTGGTGGGCTGCGGTCCATGGGGTTGCAAAGAGTCAGACACAACCGAGCGACTTCACTTTCACTTTTCACTTTCATGCATTGGAGAAGGAAATGGCAGTCCACTCCAGTGTTCTTGCCTGGAGAATCCCAGGGATGGCGGAGCCTGGTGGGCTGCCGTTTAAGGGGTCGCACAGAGTCGAACACGACTGAAGCGACTTAGCAGCAGCAGTGGAGACTGAAGCCATTATTCATCATGGAATTAAGGTAAGCTAATTATACTGGGGGAAAACAGATCTTAGAAAGTGGAAGGTCTTCAGTCAACCCTCCAACCTTTTATATGTTCCAAAGAATTCGAGATGTATTTTTTTTTTACACTTAATCTGGATTGAACTTGAACGTTAGAACATCTTAAAGGGAAACCACAAAAGGATATCGGTGTGCATCGGCTTCAGCTTGTGAGCTTGTTAAAACTGCAGATCCAATTCTAGCTCACCAGCTGTAAGTGATTACTGCTTACCTACGCTTGTAACAGGAACCCTAGGTGATAATGATGCGGGTGAGTCTCCGACACTTTGAGAAACATAAGCTGAGAATTCAGGAGATTCTGCTCTGGATAAAATAAATCATTTTAATCACAGTGCTTTGTCAGTTACAAACACATTCAAGCTACTACTTTTTCTTTTTTTTTTTTAACTACTATACTTGATGCATATGCTCCATGGATATGAGGTATCCCAAAGTAATGGGGTTTGCCCTTATATACTACAGATATTGGAGAAGGAAATGGCAACCCACTCCAGTGTTCTTGCCTGGAGAATCCCATGGACAGGCAAGCCTGGTGGGCTACAGTCCACGGGGTCACAAAGAGCTGGACATGACTGAGCAACTAACACACACACACACTCTGGGTACAGTATCCGTGCAGTCGTCTAGAGCAGTGGAAATATCGGTGCCAGGCCCCTGCTTACGCTTAGAAATGAACGCTCCCACTCCCACTTCTGGACCAAGTGGTGTTCCAGGGCCGTTAGTTGCAGGCCCATCTGACCTGTCCAAGCAGAGGCCAAGAGAAAGCCTTCAGGCAGAGAGTCCAGTTCATGCTGAGTCCTACCAGAGGCACGGACTAGAACTCTCAGTGTTTGAGGGAGCACAAGTAACACTTGTGTCATGAAGACACTCACGGAAATAAAGCGCAGAGGGAAATGAAGCTTCCTGGGGGGCTCAGTGGTAAAGAATCCGCCAGCCAATGGAGGAGATGCAGGTTCGATCCCTGGATCGAGAAGATCCCCCGTAGAAGGACATGGCAACCCACTCTAGTAGTCTTGCCTCGGAAATCCCATGGCCAGAGGAGCCTGGCAGGTTACAAGTCCACGGGGTCTCAAAAGAGTCAAATATAACTTAGCAACTAAGCAACAACAACACAGAGGGAAATGCATTAGAGAGAGCAAGAGTGATAGGCTAATATTGTTAACATAAATTAGAAAAACAGAAACAAAAGCATATTATGTACGTCACTCTCATAACTTCTATGTGGGCAAATTTAGACCACATTACACAGTGCCTCTTGGGGAAGAATAGAAAGTTAGAGGCTTCCTGGAAATTGATGAGGAAATGCTGTCATAACCAGGAGGAGTGATTTAAAACATCCATGTCCTCCCGCTTCTCTAGGCTAATGAATATGCTCCTCCTGGAGCCTCTCAAAACCCTAACCTCCCACAGCACACACAGGACATCCGTATTCAGGCTCCCCAAGAGTAAGAACTGTGTGCCCTGCAAGGTCCCTCCCCTTTTAACCCCGGGGCCTTGGCTCACCAGGGTACATTGGAACAGGAGGGGCAAGGGTCAACCCAAGTCCCCACGACTACATTTCCCAGAGCTCCGGGGTGACGGTGACCGGACTCGGGGCGGGGCACTTTGCAGACCGAGGGAGGGCTCTTCCCGGGCTGGGCCAGGAAGTGGGAGGGTGGCCGTCGCCCTGGTTCCTGGTCGTGGGCCCCAGAGAGCTCGGTGAGTGACCTGTTTATGCTTGCAAACTGGGGTTTGATCTGACTTCAAATGTGAGTCCAGGAGACTGCAGACTACACAAGCCTGAATTTCAGGTCCCAGGACAGTTCAGGAAGTTTGCCTGACACGTGCTTATGCTGTAATTGCTTGTGCAGGATAGCAGAGGGGTCACAGACCCCCACTGCAGCTGGCAGGGTCAGCATCATCGCCACCCAACACCCCAGCTGTGAGGATTCGGCAGGACAGAGAAGCATCTCTAAACGTCAGTTTATCCCTCGGAACGCTGGAGCTAATGAGAGAGCTTACTTAGAAAGTCTGTTGTGAGGAGTAAAGGAATGTATGAAAGATAGCTAATGTGTACAACATGTGTTTCAGAGGACAGGGTTCTCCTCTCGGGTAACTGCAACAGTGATGTCCACCTTCTCTTATCCTAACTGGGCGTATCCCCAAGAGCTCAGTCAGTCCTGCAGACAGCAAGCTCAGGATCACCCCTGCTCCTCCGGCATTAAGGGATCAGAAATTCTCTACCGGTCCCAAAACACCCAGGGAGGCTGGGTTGCATTGTCTGCACCATGTAAGGGAATTCTTGGGGAGGTTTTCTCTGGATAGAAGGAGGGCCCCAAGGGTCTCCAGGGGCACACATGCCAGGAACAACTCTCTCACTGTCAGGCAGGCTGACAACAGCATTCCCTGGGCGCTGATGAGCCGAGGTCCGCAGGAGAGAGGAGCCTGTGGAGGTGGACGGCCCGGAAGCCGGGGGCCCTGGGAGTCCCTGCCCTGAACTTTGCTCCCCTGCCCTGCGCCCTCAAAAACCACACGCCTGCTTGCCCTCTGATCACCGAACTTTCCCTTCCCTTGAGTCACTGTTTAGTTCTCAACCATACAATAGCTGACCCCACCCTCTTGCAATCAGAAGGAAGTTGTTACCTGCCAACTATATATATAGTTCCATCCCACCCAGAGACTTATTTTGTTAGGCATTTACAGGTTTCAATAGTTCAGAGCCACTTGTAAAAACAGGCAGATTACACCCACAAATCTGACTCTCTATTTCTCCTGGAAAGGGAATAAAAGGCGAAACAAACATTCAGACCTTTCTGCTGACGGAGTCTGACCTCCTTTGGCTGTTTTCCTTGGACGGGAGGCGCTGCAGGCCTTCTGTGCCCTCAGCATCGTGAAGAGGGCCTGTGGGCTTGGCTTGCCAGGCAACCTCTTTTTTTTTTTCATCCAGAAGATCACTGGGCTGGCCACTTGCCCCCTGGGACTGGGCCGGTTCACAGGTCCTTGAAGTAGGCTTCGACACCAAAAAAACAGGTAAGAAAAGGGAAGGGAGGGCTCGCCTGGTGGCTCATGGCAAAGAATCTGCCTGCAATGCAGGAGCCACAGTTTCGATTCCTGGGTCAGGAAGATCCCCTGGAGAAGGAAATGACAACCCACTCCAGTATTGCCTGGAGAATCCCATGGCAGAGGAGTGTGGTGGGGTAGAGTCCACAGGGTCGGACGTGACTGAGTGACTGAACACCAAAGGGAAGGGATGGGAAGGAGAGGAAGAGAAATTCAGAGCCCAGGGAAAGAAAAGCCGCGGAGAAGCATCTCTAAATCCTATTCTTCAGCCAGGCAGCTCTACTCTAAGCATACACCCAGTGAATTGAAATCAGATGCAGGAAAAAGCGCTCGGGCACAAATTCTGTCTGCAGCAGTGTTCACAGCGGCTGAAGCTGGAAGCACTCCGACAGGAAGGAGCCTGGTGGGCGCAGAGGCGGGAGGGGTTGGGGAGTCACACTCACGAGTCTGGCATCTCACGGGAGGAAGGAGAGAGCTCGGAACTAAACAGAAGGGTGTCTGCACCAAGTTGTGAAGGTGCCAAAGGACTGAACTGTTCACTTTGAATGGTTTAGTCAAGTCGTGGGATGGTCACACCGATTTTTAATAATCTGTTGAGTCATGACGGGCTTCCCCTGTGGCTCAGATGGTAAAGAATCTGCCTGCAATGCAGGAGACAGGGATTCGATCCCTGGGTCCAGAAGCTCCCCTGGAGGAGGGCATGGCAACCCACTCCAAGTATTCTTGCCTGGAGAATCTCATGGACAGAGGAGCCTGGCGGGCTACAGTCCATGGGGTCCAAAGAGTCGGACATGACTGAGCGACTCACACTTTCAGTCACGGCAGAAAGGCTGGCGAGAGACACTGACCCTGCTTGTGGCCCAGAGTGTGACTTCGTTGCGTCACTCCCTGCCCCCAGGACCTCACTTTAGTTCCTCCTCCATTCCTTCCCTCAAAAGGAGGGTTGTTTTTTTAAACTATCAACTCCCGCGTACTTCTGTCCCGGAGTCTGGCTTTGTTCGGCTTCTGCCATCCAGACCGGCTCTGGGCGCCTGCTCGGCGGTCCCCACAGTACCTGCCTGACTCTGAAGCTCCAGCTCGGAGCCCGGCGGAGCCGCGGGCCTTCGGTGCGTTAAGGCGGGGTGTCCGACGGCCTCTGAGCAGGGCTGGCCTCGAAGCTCCCTTCCATCCCGGAGTCAAGCCGACGCCCCTCTGCCCTGGGGTCGGAAGTGAGTCTTAGTGTCAATCTAATGGGATGCCATCACTGAGACAGAGAAAAGGAAACAGACAGGATGTGAAACTCACACAGAAAGAAAATCCACTCGCTCCGTCTCAGCTTCTTCCAGGCGGTCGTGCCTGAAGTGTGGGCAGTTGGGATGGAAGACGCCATCTCGGTCCATGACCACCCCGGCTGCTTGCACCTCTGAGCCGTGAGGGCAGCATCTCAGGGCCGGACTGCCTCTGGACCAACCTGTTTTCAATTATTCTATTTTAGACTTTGGCTTACAATTTTGTTTGGGGAAACGATCAGGACTTCTGTAGCTCAAAAATAACAGGCAAGATAAAGTAAAATAAAATTTAAAAACTTGAAACCACCGCTGGACATGAAAGATGTAGACACCCCCAGACTGGGAGCTGAACTAGGAGGTCTTCATGTCAACCCACTCTCCGGGGCTACATCAGAGAGGTGATGGGTAACTGAAGAACCGCGGCACTGAGGGACACATCACGGCAGCCAGGTGACTGTTGGGCTTTGTCCATTCGGCGAAACAACAGGCATTCGTTCGGTGACAGAAGTCTCTCTGGCCTGACTTTCAGGGCACTCTAGAAGTCGCCTCATCCTGTTCACCTTAGCTTTCTCCCACAGCACTCTCCCCGGTGACCGCTGACGTGATTGTCTGGTTCCCCAGGTTCGGACACTGAGTCCGGCCCGTGTGCAAGCGCCTCACGAGGGAAGGGCGCCTGGGCAAGCCCCAGTGCCGGCCCAGGTGGGACGCACAACTCCAGAGTCTTTTCTCGATTCAAGGCAAGGCGGCGGGGTGTTGAGAACAGCGGGCCGGTAAGTCCCCATGCGGGGCGGCCCTGATGGGACACGGAGCCCCCGACACGGCTGACTCTCACACGGGCGGGCCAAGCCACTCCAGGAGCCCCCAGGAGGTCTGCCGGAGTCCGCGCGCAGGTCCTGAAGCCAGGCCGGTCAGGGGGACCCCAGGGGACCCGGGTGGCCGACACACCGCGTCCCCCCACGCCAGCCTCGGTCCCGAGTCCTCCGCGGTGCCCCGAGCCCAGGCAGGGCGCTCCGAGCAAGCTGTTCTTTACCCTCCGCACCCGAGGCGGAGGCCAACGGGTCTAAGGCCTTTCACTTCAGTCACCTTTAAAACATGTTTTTAAAGTACTTCAGCCACAATGCTTCCAAGTTGTCTACTCCGTCCTGTAATAGAAGGAGTCAATTCTGCCCTAGTCTTCCTTAGCTTTTCATTTTGACTTACATCTCCACAGGCTACGGGGAGAGTAAACTCCGGGGCTTGGTGATGGACAGGGAGGCCTGCTGCTGCAGCCCATGGGGTCGCAAAGAGTCGGACACCCCCGAGTGGCTGAACTGAGCAGACAGCAGCCCGCCAGGCTCCTCCGTCCACGGGATTCTCCAGGCAAGCATACTGGAGTGGGTTGCCATTTCCTCCTCCAGGGGGTCTTCCCGATCCAGGCATCGAGCCTGGGTCTTCTGAGTGCCCTGCGCTGGCACGCAGAATCCCCACCACCGCACCGCTGGAAGCCATCTGCAATTACACTTTAGAGCTAAGGGAAGGTGCTACCTTACACGCTGGTCTTTGATGTGTTTGGTAAAACTTGTAGTATCGATCGGGGGCCTGGGACAGGGTTCACCCATCCTTGTTGATTGCCTGGCCCGTTGTGCGCGGGTCCTCCTGTGACTTAAAGCCCAGGAAGTGGGCTCAGAGCGACCCATGCTGTTCCCATTGCCTGTGACTGTACGCCCAGCTCTATCCCCTGTGCAATGCAGATGGCCACTTGACTCTCTTTCCTTCTGTTTTGTGATTTTAAAACATTCTTCCTATTCATGTCCAAACGGAACTACTGCTCTTGTTTTCAAGGAAGAATATGATATATTTAAAACTATTTTTCTATTATTTCTAGACTGTGAACCAGGAAGAAGAAACATTCCAAGTCTTTTGAATTAAAACTGAGAATCCATCTACATCGAACTTCCATAGAAAGGTTTGCTTTTCTGAGACATCTCAGCTAACTCCCTAAGTGTGTTCTCTCTGCCTCCTTTTATTCTTTTCTTGTATTTATGATCAAGTGAAATGAATCAATATATCAGCGCACATCTAAGTTACAAGTCAGTGTATAAACGTTGCAGTGTTCTCACCCAGTTTTATCCTGACAGCTACTTTCTAGTGTCTCCATATTTCACCTTTTATCATAACTTCAGTACTACACCATCCTTATTTTTAGTTGTGGAATATACAGGTATAATTTGGTTATAACATGCTGCTTACACTCAGGTCCCAATACTGGGTTCTTCTCAATGGACTTGAGGTTACTAAATTCTAAGTTAGCATCATATCTTAAAAAATAGAAGGAACAAAGGAAAAAAACTTTAAAATCAAAATATAACTTTAAAAAGTATACATTGATTTCCAAATAAAAGGGAATTAACCCACCCAGAAATGAAATGGTTAGGCAGGTCCAAATCCTGTTTCTTTGGTTCTACATCACCTGCCCTCCTAACTTACCCAGTACTGATTGGATATAGAAGTGGAAGAGGGTCTGTGGCAGTCTGGTTCAGTACCAGTTCTCTCCATGTCTGATGCAGAGTTTTTGGCTTCTACAAGTGTTGAGAAAGGATGGATGATGGATGTAAAGCTGAGAAGAAATGAAATAAGCTTAAGAGATTAGGAGATCAGTTAACCGATACCAAGAATAAAGTTGGAACACTAGCAAAATGGAAAAAATAACAGATTAAAAAAGAGAACTAGGTGAATCTGAAAGAAAAGACATTAAGAAGGACAACAGAAATACATAGCTTATCACCATTAACCTAGGGCAGGCCCTTTTAAGCCTCTCACCTCGGGCCATGTCATCTTACCAAAGGTAATACACCACTGTTACAATCAGTGATTAGTGGACAGAAACATTTTTGACATGGGATTTTAGAAAATGAGGACTTTTTTTTTTTGACTCACCGTAATAAAGCAAGATACAGCTTAAGACTTGATTGATGTCTTTTCTCATCTTTTCTTCTCCTGCTTTTCATTCCTCAACTCATTAAATTCTTAGTAGGTGCCATTCTCTAGGAAGACCTCCTACTAGCTTTGGGCAAATATCCTACCAGCTTCTGGCCCCGCAAGAAAAGCACCTGCTTAGGTTTCAGTGGAAGCCCCTCAGCAGAGTCTTGGAGTGCTGACTCAGGCCACACGCCATCTGTGAGCAAAGCGCTGGTCCTGGAGCAAAGGTGCTTTGAGGTGCTCCTGGCTGGGCCACATGTCTTTTCTTTCAGCTCTGTGTGTGCGGGTCCCTGCCCATAGGCATCAACCGGACAATGGTGCCCTTTGCCCAAACTGCAGGCTTCCCCTTGGCCTTCTCACACCGACTCCTCATCTCAAAGGAAGAGCCTGAAGGCCAGGCCTCATCGTGGTCCACGCTTCCTCTCTGTCCTTCTGCTCCCCTCCTCCTAGCTTCCTTGAATGTTCTTTGGATGCTCTAGGCAGGTTCTGGCTTAAGACTTCTTAAAAATTCTCTGGTCCTTCCTGAGTGATCCTCCCACACATATGGACGTGGCTCCTTCTCTCCCATCCTTAAAATTATAGTGAAGCTTTCTCCGCCCACCTTACTGGAAACTGAAGCTCTCTCTACGTGTCTTATCTTCCTTCTTCGCTCTATTTTCTTCAGAGCACTGATCACAATCAAAGAAATTGCATGTGTTTTTTAATTCATTCATTTCATTATCTGTGTCATACCAGCCCCCATAAGATGTAAGATTTTTTTAAGACAAGCAACCACTAGGTTAGATAAAAAGTATACATTGATTTCCAAATAAAAGGGAATTAACCCACCCAGAAATGAAATGGTTAGGCAGGTCCAAATCCTGTTTCTTTGGTTCTACATCACCTGCCCTCCTAACTTACCCAGTACTGATTGGATATAGAAGTGGAAGAGGGTCTGTGGCAGTCTGGTTCAGTACCAGTTCTCTCCATGTCTGATGCAGAGTTTTTGGCTTCTACAAGTGTTGAGAAAGGATGGATGATGGATGTAAAGCTGAGAAGAAATGAAATAAGCTTAAGAGATTAGGAGATCAGTTAACCGATACCAAGAATAAAGTTGGAACACTAGCAAAATGGAAAAAATAACAGATTAAAAAAGAGAACTAGGTGAATCTGAAAGAAAAGACATTAAGAAGGACAACAGAAATACATAGCTTATCACCATTAACCTAGGGCAGGCCCTTTTAAGCCTCTCACCTCGGGCCATGTCATCTTACCAAAGGTAATACACCACTGTTACAATCAGTGATTAGTGGACAGAAACATTTTTGACATGGGATTTTAGAAAATGAGGACTTTTTTTTTTTGACTCACCGTAATAAAGCAAGATACAGCTTAAGACTTGATTGATGTCTTTTCTCATCTTTTCTTCTCCTGCTTTTCATTCCTCAACTCATTAAATTCTTAGTAGGTGCCATTCTCCAGGAAGACCTCCTACTAGCTTTGGGCAAATATCCTACCAGCTTCTGGCCCCGCAAGAAAAGCACCTGCTTAGGTTTCAGTGGAAGCCCCGCAGCAGAGTCTCGGAGTGCTGACTCAGGCCACACGCCATCTGTGAGCAAAGCGCTGGTCCTGGAGCAAAGGTGCTTTGAGGTGCTCCTGGCTGGGCCACGTGTCTCTTCTTTCAGCTCCGTGTGTGCGGGTCCCTGCCCATAGGCATCAACCAGACAATGGTGCCCTTTGCCCAAACTGTAGGCTTCCCCTTGCCCTTCTCACACTGACTCCTCATCTCAAAGGAAGAGCCTGAAGGCCAGGCCTCAGCGTGGTCCACGCTTCCTCTTTGTCCTTCTGCTCCCCTCCTCCTAGCTTCCTTGAATGTTCTTTGGATGCTCTAGGCAGGTTCTGGCTTAAGACTTCTTAAAAATTCTCTGGTCCTTCCTGAGTGATCCTCCCACACATATGGACGTGGCTCCTTCTCTCCCATCCTTAAAATTATAGTGAATCTTTCTCCACCCACCTTACTGGAAACTGAAGCTCTCTCTGCGTGTCTTATCTTCCTTCTTCGCTCTATTTTCTTCAGAGCACTGATCACAATCAAAGAAATTGCATGTGTTTTTTAATTCATTCATTTCATTATCTGTGTCATACCAGCCCCCATAAGATGTAAGATTTTTTTAAGACAAGCAACCACTAGGTTAGTGATGTATACATAATAAAATTTCAGCAAGCTATTTATTGAACAAGTGAATAAATCAGTTTGTGAACAAACTGACTTGTTGAGTAGGAAAATTTCTGTAAAGTTCAGCTAAAGAGGAAACTGAGTAGGTCAAGTACCTTATTATATCATTCTCCTGTTTATATTAGAAATGTGTTTGTAAACTCTATTTTAATTGATGCCAATTTGTACCTCTCCTTACTCATCATCAAGAAAACCACATATAAGCTCTCTATCATTTTACTCATCACTTCATCTGGATTTCCAACTTCTCATACTCAAAACGTGGAAGAAGTAATACTTTTCTTCACCATTTGTGAGCTTGCACATGCAAAAGGCATTAAAACAGCAAAAGCACACACAAAAGGCTTATAATTATAGATATTGGTAACCATTGTATTTACATATTTAAAATACACTTGCTATAATCAAGCTAATCAAAGAAATCCAAGTACAAAAGTAAGATATTTGCTTTTGTTTTCCTTGCCTTAAGGAATCATGAACATCGAAGCATATTTTGAAAGAATTGGTTATAAGCACTCGAGGGACAAATTGGACTTGGAAACATTAACCGACATTCTTCAGCACCAGATCCGAGCCATTCCCTTTGAGAACCTTAACATCCACTGTGGGGACGCCATGGAATTGGACTTAGAGGCCATTTTTGATCAAATTGTGAGGAGGAACCGGGGTGGGTGGTGTCTCCAAGTCAACCACCTCCTGTACTGGGCTCTGACCACGATGGGTTTTGAGACCACCATATTGGGAGGGTATGTTTTCAACACGTTCACCGACAAATACAGCAATGCCATGATTCACCTCCTGCTGAAGGTGACCATCGACGGCCGGGACTACATAGCCGATGCTGGATTTGGACGTTCTTATCAGATGTGGCAGCCACTGGAGTTAATCTCTGGGAAGTACCAGCCCCAGACACCTTGCATCTTCCGCTTGACCGAAGACAGAGGAACTTGGTACCTGGACCAAATCAGAAGAGAGCAATACATCCCAAACCAAGAATTTCAGGATTCTGACCTCTTGGAAAAGAATGAGCATCGGAAAATCTACTCGTTTACTCTTGAACCTCGAACAATTAAAGACTTCGAGTCTGTGAACACATACCTTCAAGAATCTCCGGCATCTGTGTTTACAAGCAAGTCATTTTGCTCCTTGCAGACCCCAGAAGGTGTTCATTGCTTAGTGGGTTTTACCCTCACCTACAGGAGATTCAATTATAAGGACAACACAGATTTGGTAGAGTTTAAGACACTGAATGAGAAAGAAATAGAAGAAAATCTAAAAAACATATTTAATATTTCCTTGGAGAAAAAGCTTGTCCCCAAACATGGTGATAAATTTTTTACCATTTAGAGGAAGCAGTAAAAATGGTCTCATGATTACTGCTAGTGCTGTGACTTTTTAATCACAAAAAATTTAAATGTCAATAAAAGTTGTTTTTGTTATTGTTTTTGCTTTGTCGCCAAGTCTTGTCTGACTCTTTTTCAACTCCATGGATTGTAGCCTGTCAGGATCCTCTGCCATGGGATTCTGAGACAAGAATACTGGAGTAGGTTGCCATTTCCTTCTCCAGGGGATCTTCCTGGCCCAGGGATCAAACCCGTTTCTCCTGCCTTACAGATGGATTCTTTATCACTAAGCCTCCAGGGAAGCCTGTCTATAAAAGTAGAGAGAATGAAATAATAAATCTCCATTTACTTATCACTCAGTTTATCAACTAGGAACTAGAGGCCTATCTATCATATTTTCTCAACACTCCCACATTTTATTGAAGAAAATCATAGATGTCAGATCATTTCACCCTTTAAAAATGTCAGCATGCATCGTTAGATAACATTTTTAAAAAATTTTTGAGAGTTGGACTATAAAGAAAGTTGAGCACCAAAGAATTGATGCTTTTGAACTGTGGTGTTGGTGAAGACTCTTGNAGGACTGATGCTGAAGTTGAAACTCCAATACTTTGGCTGCCTGATGCAAAAAACAGACTCATTGGAAAAGAACCTGGTGCTGGGAAAGATTGAAGGCGGGAGGAGGAGCCGACAGAGGATGGGATGGTTGGATGGCATTATCAGTGTGATGGATATGAGTTTGAATAGGCTCATATGAGCCTACACATATGGATATGAGTTTGAATAGGCTCATATGAGCCTACTCATATGGATATGAGTTTGAGTTGCTGATGGACAGGGAAGCCAGGAGTGCTACAGTCTATGGGGTCGCAAAGAGTCGGAAAGGACTGAGTGGCTGAACTGAACTGAGCTTTTTCCAAATTTATAATAGCAGAGATTTAAAACGTTTAATGATGGCCTATGGTTTTCTTGAGGAAAAAAGTGATATATGCTAGAAAACTTCGCATGTTGGTTGAATGTTGAATTCATAGAACGTGTTTGACCATCATTCAGTAACTGGAACATAGAGGAAATCATTTTTATTAAATTCTTCCAGCGTATATCCAATGTCAAATCTGAGCAGAAATACCACATGTATAATGGGATTATAATCCAACCAAGAAAAATGAGAAATGATATTGCTTCCAAATAACCTAATAGTTCTCAAGACAAAGTATAAACCAATACTTGTTAACATAAGTACCAAGAGACTGACACAGCCAATAATTTCTTATATGGCTCTTTTTTGCAACCACAGTTCTTCATGTACCTTTTTTCTTTAATTAATTTCTTAAAATTAATATTTTCTATTTTCTTCAAGTAAGCTTTCTTCATGTACTTTTTTTTTCTTAATACCTTTTTTCAAACAATGATATTTGGAATTTTCAAATTTTGGAACTAGGTATTTTTGTGTAGTACTAAAAGTCTAAAAATATGTATTATCTGTAAAATCTTGATGTTGAAAAATAAATTAAAATGTTACTGACCAAGATAATGTCAGTCTCAAAGGTTTTTTTTTTTGAAAAATTAGGTTATTAATGGGGCTTCTTTTTTTTTTTTTTGCAGTAGAGTCTTTGTTGAATCCTCTTTCTTGTCTCCCAGTTCTATTCTTTTACTTCCCTTTACTCTTTGTGGTAAGAGAAAGACTATGTGCTTCCAAGTATGTAGTTCTGAGTTCAGTCCTGTGGACACCGGGTGAATCACTCGATGAACCTGCGGCTCCCATTCCTTGGGGTAAAGCGGGGATGCTGCCTGGATAAACACGTGTCAGACCTTGAGCACCATCTCCCCTCCCTCCGGATGGGCCTTGTTCAACTCTGCTGCTCTATCTTGCAGCAGGGCCAGTCATGCCTGGTACTCTTGGGCGGAAAGGGTTTTCTCACATTCTGAAAAGACCTTGCCAAGGGAGGAGATGGTGGCAAGTTACATTACCCAGACCAAACTGTGGCTCAAGAAAAAAGATGCAGTTTTGTACAAATGAGTCAAAGTCATATTGTATGAGTATACTGAGACCCAGGCTTCCCAGGTGGCTCAGTGGTAAAGAACCTGCCTGCCAATGCAGGAGACGCAAGAGACGCAGGTTCGATCCCTGGGTCAGGAAGATCCCCTGGAGGATAAAACGGCAAACCACTCCAGTATTTTTGCCTTGAGAATTCCATGGACAGAGGGGCTACAGTCCATGGGATCGCAAAGAGTCAGACACGACCTAACATATCCACACAACCAGAAACCCATTTGCTTTTCCTTGCATACCTCGACGACAAGGCAGGGGGGTGCGGGGGTGGCAAAATAGTTGAAAGACACTTAGGGATATAAAATTTAGCTTCCAGATAGAACAGGTATGCCTCTCCTTCTGTGCAATGTTAACATCTCTCCAGTGGAAATTTAAATGAGTGTTCTCTGTGGATTAATGATTATTGATCCTGTTACTACTGCTGCTTAACAAATTACCCTGAAGCTTAGTGGTTTCAATTATTTTAGTTTGCTCACAGATCCTGTGAGTCTGTACTTTAGGAAGGGCACAGAGGAACGGTTCTTTTCTGCTCTCCAATATCCCGTCTCAGCTGAGAGAACTCCCGTGGCTCATGGTTATTGGATGGTCACATGCTAGAACCATGTGGAAGCACCTTCTCTGGCGCTGTGTTGCTGAGCTGGGCCCACAAAGAGTCAAGTTGCATGGGGCCTCTGCAAGTGGTCTGGGCGTCCTCGCAGCATGGGAGGCTCAGGGCAGTCATAGTTCTCAACCAGGGCCTTGGAATGCTAGGTATGAGGGTTCTAGCTTGTATGGTAGAAATTAAAGCACCTTTAAAAAAGAATGATTGTTTTCAGGTGAAGGGAAATTTCTCTACAGTCACAATGTTGGGCAAATACCACCTTCATCTAAGTTCACAGTATTTTCATTCCCCCCAAATAAAACCCCACACTCGTTGAGCAGTTTAAATCCCTGTCATGACCTAGCATCAAAGTCACATAGCATCTTTTATTGCCACATTTTGTTGGTTATAAGTAAGACGCAAGGCCGTCCGAATTCAAGGGACAAGATCTAGACTTCACTTTCTTTTTTTCTCCTAAAGATCTTTTTGACATGGACCTTTTTTTTTTTTCTCCCAGTTTTCTTATGCATTTATTTATTTTTGACTGTGCTGGGTCTTCCTTGCTACTCAGGATTTTCTCTGGTTGTGACAAGCGGGGGCCTACCCTCTAGTTGCAGTCCACAGATTTCTCATTGCAGTGGCTTCTCTCGTGGAGCACGGGCCCCAGTCCTGAGGGCTTCAGTAGTTGGGGTTCCCGGGCCATAGAGCACAGGCTGAACTGTCGTGGCACACAAGCTTAGTTGGTCCACAGCTTGTGGGATCTTCCCGGACCAGGGATCGAACTTGTGTCTCCTACGTTGGCAGGCAGATTCTTTACCACTGAGCCACCAGGGAAGCCCCGAGACTTCACTTCTTGATGCAGAAATGGCAAGTTTCAAAGATACTCTCACAGGCATCTTTGGAAGATATAATCTGACAGTCAACCCTCTGGCGGCAAAAAATGTACATTCGCGTCTCCTCCCATCCTGGCGTCAGGCTCAGCTTTGAAGTCCAGGATCGGGTCGGCAAGGGTAGATGCAGACGAGGCTTCTCAGGCGCAGTTTTGCGAGTACAGCTCTTTGAGTTCCGTTCTTCTTGATGAGAGTCCTTGTAAACCATCGTGACAAATATCCTTTCCCGACACACTCACAGGCAACAGTGAAACAGGTGACAAATTTTCACTGTGGACAGGTCCGTTCCCTACGGGGTGAGCAAGAAGCACACAGCACCCCTCAGGCCGTCATCGGTCTGAAATCCAGTGGGGCCCCAAGGCCAGTTCCCTGGGGAGGCCTCAGTCCTATCTCATGGGCCTTGTTTCCATGGTTCTTGCCTTTATTCTCTGGCCTTTTAGATACACCACATGCCTCTGCTGTGATTTTCATAATGGTTAAAACTGACAAAAAAAAAACAAACTTATTTTCTTATAAGGAGACTACAGCCCCATGGGGGTTAACAAATCTTTATCTAAGGATTTTCCTTCAGGGAGTGGGTAGTTTTGTCCAGAGGCCTCCCAAGATATACCCAGACACCCTAGACTCAAGTGCAGTGCGCTGACTTGAAGGATGAGTGTGAGTTTACACAACTTAACACGCAGGCATTCATTACTATGTTGGGACGATGTTTCTGAGAAGTGGAGTCCTCAGTTTGGGTCCCCTGAAAATAGACCGGTCTTCAACTCATGGCCATCACAGTGAGGTCAAGTTATAAGGAGGACCTAAAATGGAAGAATGTTAGGTAAGAAAAGAAGCATATTCAGAGGTGGGGGGTTAGATGTAGCAGTTTACGAATGAGAGACTTTTTCATTTGGGAAGTGATATCAGTAAACAGAAGAAGAAACAGGGAAGTGAGGCCACGATTGAAAAGTCAGCACAAAGGCTCACTAAGATGGCTGCTGTGGGCAACAGGAGCTCACACCCCTAGGATTCACAAAAGAGTATGTGTGAAGGCCCCGCCGCCCTCCCTCCAGAATTTTCCACCACAGAACAAGAGGTAGGTGCCTTTGTCCACGGGTTCTTGTCTCCCATTGGTTGAGAATTCCCCCAGAGGTGTTTCCTCCTGCACGTCCAGGCTCCACATGAGGGCGGGTTTCTGCAGGCCGCCATTGGAGAAGCCCTGCGGCAGGAAGCAGCGGCACCTGGGATACGTGTGAGTACAGGCAGTGGTGTGCGTCTCTGGCAGCTCAGTCGGTTAAGAATCCGCCTGCAATGCAGGAGACCAGGGTTCGATCCCTGGGTCGGGAAGGTCCCCTGGAGAAGGAAACGGCCACCCACTCCAGTATTCTTGCCTGGGACATCCCATGGACAGAGGAGCCTGGAAGACTACAGTTCCAGGATTCGCAAGAGTGGGACACGACTCAGCAACTAAACTACCAGTGGTGGTAGCGTCGGGTGGAGGGATAAAGACAGGCTGGGCGTGGAGGCAGGGCCCCTCAGATAACCCCAGACTGTCAGAGCAGCCAAGCTGGGATTGGTATTCAGGCTTGGCTGTGC